ATAATGCAGGTAGTTCCTGAAGGTGTGAATAAGATTGATGGTGCTGTCTCGAGCATCAGGCTTTGTGTGACGTGGTTCAAGAACTACAAAGGTACAAGATGGTCATCGTTTAATATGATTATCACTCGCTCAAAATTCCTCTAAGTGTGTGTCAAAACTACTTTTGACTGAGCGTTACAATGCAAACACTGGCAATGAATGGATAAGTTTAGCATTCTTTTCTAGTATTGATTTTCATCTTACTTATAGGACAAGAAATAGTTTGAGTCTGAGAACTTTAATTAATGATTCAGCATGCACTAGTCTGTTTCCAGACCTATTTTCACTTCCATCATCACTTAGTGGGTAGTTTAAATAGAATCTCCTTTGGGAGGGGTGGGTAACTCTTGTACTCTTCACTCAAGTTGAGCTCCATTACTCTACATTAGAATTTTAAAAAAAAACCGTCTAAAGTTGGCACTTTCCCTCTGCTAATACTACAGTGTATGTCCTCAAAATGCTGCGAAATCTCCCCAACTGTTTCATGTTGCTACAAGAGATAGTCAGATCATCCTCCATCATTTCCACTCACAAGGGTAACAAAAGATTCTGTCTAAGAATGGATACTAACCAAAGGTGATATATCCAATGTTATCGCCTGTCTTGGCACCAGTTCCCTGCAATTCCTGTGGGGGTTCTTTGTGACTGAAGATGACTTGTGGTGCTGTCTGGCTTGCACGACGGCCCTCTTTGAATTCCTGACACACAATAGGAAGTTTTAATTCTCTAATATACATGTAGACAATCTGTCTAAATAAATCTGACTGCTATGTGAAAACACTGTTACAAGATTATATTATATTACAGTATCAACCTAACTTTAACCGTAGGATAAAAGGAGTTCAATGGATAAGGCTGAAATTTTAGAAAATCTACAGAATCCAATAGATTCAGTCACAAAAAATTCCTATGAAAGGGATGGACCATTGTCTTTGTAGAGGCGGATGGATAAACATTCCAATTTAAAACACTTTTGGTGCTGTCATCCCTATCAACAAATTTTCTTTTTTGGTGGCTTCTTTATGATAAAAATTAGTTACTTTTACAATTATACAACTTGTTCTCTTCTCAGAGGGATGAGACAGGATGGGAGAAGGAATTAAGGATAGGAATAATTTTGCTTCTGTGAACTATTTTTTCTCACATTTCAAAAAATAAGCATTCACAGAGCTAGCCTAAACTGTACCTGCATGAAGACTTTACCAATGATCACATCATCATCATCTCTAAATACAGTACTGAAGACAACTGTAACACGATCATCTGTTGCTTGGACATACCTGAAGAGAGAAACAGATAACCTCTCCTTACACTTTCAGTAAGCAGGTGACCAGTATAGACTGACCTATCATATAGGGGGTGTTATCATGCTAAAACACTAAATTGTACATGTATTTGCTGTGAGAGCATTAAGACTTTGGAAAGAAAGAGGAAGAAACAACTTGACCATCATCCATCATCATCATCACTTATTAAAAATTTATAGCAGCCAGAACAGAGAATTTCAATTTTCAATTTGAATTTGGGAAGGAAGAGGTTAAGACAAACTAAAAATGAATGTACCAGTCTCAGAGATTGAACTGCCATGGTCAAGGAGGAAAAAATAAAACATGTTAAAAAAATCTTCTTTAACTCACATGGACTCATCTTCTCTGTAATTTATGACTGCCTGAGTTTTTCCACCAGAGCCAGCTTGTTGATAGTCAAAATATTTCTCAAACACTGAGGCAAAGCAGTTTCTTTTCAACAGAGCAAATTTCTGAATAAGTTCCTCTGGAAGGAGACCAAAATAATTCATAGTTACAGGACTATAATTATTAACGAAAAAAAATACATGTAGTGACCACCCTTTCAACAACACTACTGATCCTCACAGTATGCACAATGCTCTTAAAATATTAAATTGATGACAATCACCTTTTTCCTTCTCATCAGATGGCAATTGCTCTAAGTCAATCAACAGGGAAACATCATAGGCTATAAAAGAAAAGCATACTTTTAGGTGAAAACAGACTTCATTTACTTAAATAAGCACCAAAACAATTTGTTTTTTGTGACTTGATTGCTGTGCTTATTTAAGGGGGGGGGACTTATTTATTGGGATTTATTGCAGAGGTAGCCTATTAAAAAATCCTCCTATTTCTAGAAAAATGATAACAAGGAAATATCAACTCAAAAGAAGCAGGTTTTCTGTTTACAGAAAAGATAGGCTTTCCCCTGTTTGCATAATGTGTGCAAACATTCATAGCTCCCTGGAGAGATGGGGAGTTATAGTCATTTTTAAATAGAAAATATTGTTATACAGAAAAAAAAAGAGACTGTTTCAACAAAGTTGAACCCTACTGGTGTTTTACATACAATTCTTGATAGAGTTCATTTTCACATGCAGCCCCTGTTCTTGGCAGTGATTAAAAATATTCTTGTTCAACCAGCACTGCATATTGAAAGGTGCTGCATATTTGATGACTATATAATTGAGTAAAAGATGTACGCAATGGCCACTTACCCTCTTCAGGAGTTGTCATGAAGCTTCCATATACTTTTTTGAGCAGCTATAATAATTAAAAAAGTAGAAAAAGAAAAAGTACAGACAGCACTTGAAAGCAAAAGTTTACACATGAATCAAAATGTCTGCACATCTATCTTCTGCTCCTAACTTAGTATTTCTGTATTCTTTTTCATTTCATATAAAAAAGAGTCAACAACCCAAAAGTTGCCCATCATTATTACAAGAAATTTTGATTATACCATACCTCATCAGCTCCATACTTTTGTAAATCAGAGTAGAATTTCATAGAAATGCTGAGCTGTGAGGAGAAAATGATTCTTAAATTATGAAAGTCAAAAGTGAAACAAAGAATTCAAACATTAAAGAGAAAACTTTTTCTAATACTTACCATGATCTTTGATTTTTCACCATTGGGGTTAGAGATATGAAACTGCACTCCATCAAAATCTGAAAAATGTCAACTTTGTCAAATGCCTAAAAATTTCAAAGGTTTTGAACCTACCATGTCATACATGTACATGGAAAGAATAACCCTTTAACTGACTTTAAATCAGAACGACCTGCACACACTGAGGTGTTTAGTGCACATTGAGGACTAGAGAATTCTCTGGCTATTCCACAGAATTCTCCACCTCAATTTCAAAGGCCTAAGCATTTTTTATATAGACATAGAGGATGTTTTTTTTCTTTTAGCTTCTTTTTTTTTCTGTCACTAAATTTCCTATAATAAAAAGCTTGCATGTTTACACTACTTATACTGGCCATTATCAAGCATACAGAATTTCTATACGAAAAGTGTTCCATGACATGGCTTCACTTTTAATATACTACACCCATTCACAATGCTCAAGACTTTTAGAAGTCTTCAGTGGTCCCTAGAAACCTTAAAGAACATAATTGGAAAGGTAAAATCATTTAGACATAGTATCTAAGTATGTTTTTGGTCCAGATGTATGCAACTCATGTATGGCAATACCTGCGCTTTTTCTACAATAATATATCAACCCTTTGGACAAACAGAATGATACATTAGAGAAAACAAACCTGCCACCGTTATATCCACGGACTCAAACTTCCCACTGTAAGAGAAAGGTTATAATTCTTCAGCAAAAATGTTTCAAGCCGGAATCGATCACACACCTCCCAAACGAAAACAAATTTCATAAGTAAAGAACAAACCATGCTACAACAGTCTTACCCCGTGAACTTGGCTCTCAGTGTCTCTTCTATAATCCTATTGTTGATCTCTAGGAGAATCATTTTGGCTAAAGAAAACCGTGGTGTTTGAGAATCCTTCTATCCGGAAACAAAAAGCTTTACCTTACGAGATTCAAGATGGCTGCGAGGAACTCCTACAGGTCACGTGATATTTGACAGCTTCCGTATGCACCAGTCTCCCGACAGAGAGAGGCTTGTTGCAGCCCGAATCTGAAATCTGACAGGAATCATTTATGCGAATTCCACATTCAAAAGATTTCACCTAGCGAACGTTAACCCTTCGAATAATATCCCCTAAAGTCAGATAAATCTTGTCTTGTGATCAAGAGGGAGATAAGATGATAGCGTCCAAAGTTAAACGTTGCTGTCAATCTCGGACTTGGACGATAGCGTCCGAAATCTGACTTAAGTATCTGTCATCGTACATTTGCATCCAAAATCCAACTTAAGTGCACGAAACAAGAGAGAAGCGTTAAAAAATAGACGCTAAGGTCCAAAAGCAAAAGATGTCGAATGATTAGGAAATTTAAGTGTCCAATTTTAAACAGAAATGTCCGAAATTGGACGATAGCGACCAAAATTAGAGATGAATTGTGAGATCCAACGGTAATATGCGAAATCTAAGAATAATGTTCGAAATTGCACAATTCTTTAATACATTTCGTCTTTTATTACAGATATTACTAGACGCAGTTAGAAAGTACGAGATAAGGCAGAAGATCTAGCAAGCTCTATTGTGCTTTAAAAAAATCCCCGCAATGGTATTTCTATTTAGCTAATACAGAAGGCGAACTTAGTTCTACATCAAGAGTCACAGGGACTGGTAAATTTAATACATGTTCAAAGTGTTATTTATAATAATGGCTGTCATTGACACCCTAGTGTACATTATACGGTATATTTTGGATATATAATTTTAGTTAGAGGGCGGAATCGTCCGAAATTGCGAACGATGGTTTCCATAATCTGAAGAAAGTGTCCGAGTATGATAATAATTGAAATTGACCAATCATGTCAGAATTTTGACAGAAGCGTCCGAAATCGAACAATAGCATCCGAAATTAGACCAAAGCCTCCCAAATCCTATGATAGCGTCTGACTGAGGTGGGGGAAGAGAAGTTGAGGGGGAGCATCTATAATCTGACACAGGTCGTTTGATTAAAGGACCAGTTAACAATTGATCGCCACTAAACGAACTGTACCTCAACGAAACCATTTGAAACACAGACACAAGTATGAGACAACACCATTCTTTACTAAAGAAAGTCACAATATGCAGAAAATTAATCCAATAACAAAAATGTGGAAGAAGAAAGTTATTCTTAGAAATCGAGACTAAGACGCAGTAGCGAGTCTCTACCCTCACAGCTAATCCAACACAGCCTGAGTACACTGTACATCATCGGATGAGAGGAATCGAAACAAGTGATAGACAGCTACGATCTGAATCCACCAAATAGAGACAAACTACTCATAGTAATACACAGCCATTTCAATACTTTAATTACTACCTCAGCCAAATTTAAGGTTATAATTATACGCCTGACTTTATTCTGTCATGCGATCGATGTGCACGTGTTGGTGCCTTTCGTACATCTGTCACGCCGAGCCCATGAACGTGATGACTGAATCCGAAACATTTTAACCAATAAGAACTCTGAGCTTGTTATTCAGTTCCTTCTCCTTTCCCAACAAGGTGGACATATGTCGTTTATATGCATCGTGCTCCTGCCAAAAAAAAGAGAAGTTTCGATAAATTTTTAAGGTGTAGCCAGTTAAGGTCACATATTTCTACTGTTGCTGCTCTATCACGGATTATTACATCACACAAAATAAATGGTAAACTAGTACCTTTTTTTCACACTTGCTTGTCAATTTCACTTACTTTCTAATTACGCGAGAGTTACACGCACATTACACGCGCGCTCTACGACCAATCGCGCTTAATGCACTTGTCATCGCGTCCACTAGATGTGAATGATCCGCAATATGTGCTTAAAACGTGTTTACACAAACTCTGATAGGGTATTTCAAGAAACCATCGCCTTATGTGTCTAACACGGAACGAATTCGGTGTTTTGGCTTTTCTATGGAAACAGAAATGCAGAAATGAAAAAGAAAAACGGCAAGTATACGTTTAAGTTTAAATGTTATGTCTTTCATAAATTCATGGCACAAAATATCATAATGACCTACCTTTGCACTTTCCCTTTGTCTTCTCTCGGAGTCTTCAAGCTGTTTTTTGAGTCTTAGAACTTGTGCATTCACAGACATGCTGCGTAATTCAGACCTGTAGTGTGTCAAAAACAGTCTTAGCAGTCAATAAAACTTGGTGATAAATCATGTTATTTACACAGAAAAAATAAAAAATAATAATGATAATAAAGAAATAAATTGAAAGACTCTGTCATATAAAAATACTAGACACTTACACAAACTTATCTTCAGTCTCTTTCAGTGATCTTTCAGTCTCTTCTAGTTTCTGACAAATCTCTTTCATTTCTCTTTGTTTTTCCTGAATTATAGTAATAATAATCATGAATTAGCATTTGAATTTAATCATGAATTTTGCATTTTGCATTATGGTACAGCCACCTGTTGTACCATTGGCAGTTGAAAACAAGTAAATCAAATCCCTATGATAGGAAGCCTCTGAAAAAAAATAGCCTATCAGGGGCTTGTTAGGACCTTCGGCCCATGTCCAGGTCTTCATCAGCCCTCAGAGGCTTAATGGTGCCAAAAGAGTATGCATACAATATAACCAAATATCATTTTCTAAAAATATGCAAACAAATTCTTACTTCTAAAGCTTTCCCTCTTTCTAAAGCCAGTTTTGCAAACTCATCTCTATCCTTGGCCAATCCCAATACCTTTGCTTGAGTTTCATCTTTCTCTATTGAGGACATTTTTAACTTTTCCTCTGACTTCCTATGCTGCTCTAAAGAATAGGAACATCAAAACAAGGAACATAAGAAATCCATTTTCATTACACAATAAAAAATAAAAATAAATTGTTTCAAGGCTGAAAATTAAAAATTACAGTACCAGCACTGTTACTGAGATCACTTAACCCTTTGACCCTTAAGAGTGACTAACATCTAATTTCTCCTTACAATATCACCCCTGAATCACACATTAAATTTATGAGAATAAAGGAAATGATCACCAACAAAAGAAGCTCTTGATTTTCAACAAATTCTCCTTATCAGCACCTTGGGATATGTATAAAGATCAGCATGGAGAATATGCATACTGATTTTGGATGTAAAGGATTAAAAAAAATATCAACCAATCACACCATTAGCAAATAAGCAAAGATTCTACCATAATTTTGCCAATCAGTGCTTCAGAAAAAAGCAAAAGAAGACAACAGAGAATTTAGATGGCATTCAATCCTTGTTTGCTGTAAAAAGATTTCTCTCTTTTGAGCAAGTGATCCTGGTGATGGTAGTCACAATGTAAAATGAATTTCCCTGAACAAACCTTCTGCCTCTTTCTGCAAAACTTTGATTTCTTGCTGAAGTTTTTCAGTCTGTTCACAATGCTTCTTTTCCATAGCAGACAGATTTCCCAATGCTATCCTTAAAAAGGAAAATAACAATTCACTAGCAAATAACTTAAACCATATGCTGAAATTACATGTAGAAGTTATTGTGAGACAATGGAAACTAGTTGTTACATCATAAAAAGCTCTTAGAATTAAGTTAACATAGGTTCTTGCATATGCAGCAGGGGGGAGTGTGTTAATTGAGGCAAAAAGATAGATTATTTATTTATTTATTCTAACCTTTCTTTTTCCCTTGCAGCTTGGTATTCATCATGGAGACTTTTCAACTCATCTCTTAGTTGCTTAATTTGTGCATCTCGCTCTTGCACAAGGCTTCCAAAAAGTCCTTCATTTTCCCTCCTCAGATTAGTGTTTTCCATCCGTAATTTTTCATTCTCAGTTTTGTATTCATCCTTTATTTTAATAAGTTCCTCATGATTCTTATTAAGCACAAAGAATCTTTTCTCCATCACAGCAAACTTTCTTGTTTCATTATGTAAAGCAGTCAATATTTCATCTCTGTGTTTTTTAAGCTCACTGTTTTCTTCCTCAAGAGTCATGCACTTCTTCAGAGATTCGTCTGCACGCTGTTTTAGAATGCATATCAGTTCACACTGCTGATCAATGCGGGAACGCAGTAATCCATTTTCTGATAAATCATCTTTTGACAGTGCTCTTAGCTTTTCCAGATTTGCTTTCATTTCTTCAGGAAATTCCACACTGTCAAACTACAATTATAAATAACAAACAATTAGAGGGTGACAATGATATGTGCTGGGGTTATTTCCCATTCTATTGGATCCTACCATGAGAGGCTCACACACACAACTTTAGTTTGATTTGTTTACATGAAGAAAAGATTTTCAAGTGTACATTCCTAATCAACATCCAATGCTGTCTGTTTTTTTTATTTTTATTTTGGTAAGAAAAAGGAAAGAACTCTGCCTAAAAAACTTTCAACCCTAAGAGTGACCAGCATCTAATTTCTCCTTACAGTAATAGTGCTAAATCATTCATTAAGATCATGAGAATTAAAGAAATGATCACAAACTTAGGAAGCTTTGATTGTATAACAAATTCTCCTTATCAGTACCAAAAGTAATGTATAGAGAATAGTGTGTAGAGTAGGGATACTGATGTTATGGTGTAAAGGTTTAAAAACAGTGTTAACTATTAGCAGCTGGGAGGATTTTTGGGAGCTTTAAATAAGATTACCACCTGTCCATAAATTGAGAAAACAAATCGATACCTTTCAATATATAAAAACAAAGAGAGGCAATTTGAATATAAGAACGCTTATTTCTTTCACTAACATTTCATTATTTTTGGAAGAAAAGGAAATATCTTCTCAATATATCTTAAGTATAAAACATAATAAATAAGGCATTCAAGAAGCCTGAGAAATTTTAATATTCTTTAGACGTGGCTCCTGTATGCACTGGAAATTATAATATTCATATGTACATGTACAATCGTGATCTGTCATAGATACCCGCATGATTCTTAAAATAAAAAAGAAAATTTTAAAAAAATTGTACACAAGAAACTTGAACCCAGCATCTACTTGGTTGTGTGAGTAGAAATGTTTTCAGACATTTCAGACATATATCAACAAGTCGAAAATTAACTTGGCTGCTTTGTTTCAAGTCAACTAACCACAGTCAACCTTTTAAAATTTAGCCTTACCTTACTAGAGTTAACTAATTCTCGTAGCTTTTGAGGTGATCTCCCTCCAGATCCACCACTTGAAGCCATTTAAATAAATAAAAAGTTTTTTCAATGGAAGTGCCCAAAGTCAAACGTTATCAATCGGTCGCGCTGAAACAGGCCACTTAGCAGTCTTAAGTCCATTGCATCTGATACAACGAATAAAATATCCCTTATCTCTTGTAATGACTGTTTACAAAGTAAGGTTTAGTTTGTCGAAACGTTTTCCTCTGCTGAAAAAAAAACCCATAAAATTCCGGTATCTTGTGGTTTGCAGAACAAAACAAGCAGGAGTGCTTTGGCAACAAAGTGAAAAGCAAACTTGTTACCAGCTCCCTCTCGTCTCAGCCTAAACCACAGGAACGGCAGTGACACAGGTATCCCTACTTATGTTACCAAGTAGCTCCAAGAACTACTCAGGGCTGCTAAACAGAAAGCTTTCAAACAAGTTTTCTTTCCTATGTGATCGCAAGACGCGAAAGCGTAAGGCAGCTTAATTAATTCCTCTATAAGAGACGCAATTTTGAAGTTCAAAATACTAGAGGAAAACAGCGGTTAAAGAACGGCCTTAATGTGGACCTGTTGATGTTATCAAGTTTATTTTGTCTTACGGGGAAGATCCCGCGAAGATACACACATGATGTTCTCGCGCTCCTTAAACAAAACTTTCAAGCATATGTTTATATTAGAGATTGGAGAAATTGTTCTCCATTTCATCACGCTGCGGCAAAAAGCGATACGGAAAATGTCAATCTCACTCCTGCTTTATGAGAGGCTGCCAGTTGAGCAAGGAAAAAATTATTGAATGACACCTTTTCATTGTGCGTATCAAAATGGTCACTTCGATATTGTTAGAATTCTTCTCAAGTACATATGGGGCTGATTTTGATGCCTCAATGGATTGTTGGCGTGTTATTACATCGCCATGTTAACTGCCGATAGTGGACATCAGGATATCGTATACCGTACTTAAATGAAACGTAATTGAAGTCTTCATTAAAAGGATCCAAGGAAGATTTTGAATCAAAATCGTAATTACACTGGGGAGGAAGACATGGATGTGAATCCGATTCCGAAGATTCCGGAACGGAAATCGATGACTACCCGTACATCTGCGGAACTGAACTTCATCAGTTCCGTAAATGTCTCGATCTAAGCTCCGTCAAAAGACACCTGTTAATGACAGTCTTTCAGAAGCCATAGGAAAAGTAAGAGATTTATATATTACAAAATTGAATAAATTTTTTGAGTTAGAAGGCGATTCTGATGCCAGTGACAACGACAACGACAACGATGGCAATAATACATAAGGAGGGGATACCAAAAGACGAAAATTTGTTTAATTAAGTTGGCTCCTTTTAAAACATATTTATAGATTTATTATAATAATGTCAAATAGCTGGGAAATTGATTCCGACTTGTGTATAACAGCAACAAAATGAGATAAAAACAAAGAAATATTAAAAAAAAACTTAAAAAACTGAAAAATATCTGGATTTTAATTGCTGATGTTCCTTAGCGACGAGATCCAACCATGTTCTCCTCTTCCCTCTTATTCACTCCTCTACAGTTTCTACATTCAATTCTTACTGTTATCAAATTGGAAACTTTTAAGAAAATGATTCGTTCTCAGTCCCCGTGACCGTGACGTTTCCCAGATCATCCTGAGAGCCATACACTTTTATTTCGTGACATATTATATGAAATTTCTCTTCCTCCTCAAAATATCCTTGCACAATATTATCCAATCGATGAAATAAATCCTTTTTCGTTTTATGTAACTTCTTCAGTTGAGATTTAACAACATCGTCTCTAAAGTTCACTTTCTTTTTCATTTTTGGTCTGTAGTTTCCTTCAGAGCTATCATCTCTACGCTTTTGGATAATAGAACTTATTCTATCAAAGAGAGATTTTCTTCTGATGTTTCTTGGTTTTTCATGTACCGATTCTTGGACCTTCCGTTTCCTTAAAGCTGTGATGGCTTTGCTGATTAAATCAAAATGAATTGACTTGTTTCTGTTAGAATTTAAGGCGACGTTTGTTACTTCTGTTTCTTCCAACGCGGTGGAGGTTTGCTGGAATTTCATCCGTTTCATAGCGTTACTAACCACATCGAATAAAGCCCTCCTCTCCTCATTCCTTGGCCAGTCGTATGCATCCACTAGATCATAAAGTTCACTTTGATTCACTGAATCCTTTGCCTCAAAAAGTGCTTCATTCATTAAAGCGATGAAAAAGTTCATGGATAGAATAGTAAGGCTTAATAGTAGTAGAGCAGCGAAGATTCTTCCAAATGTTTCATTTGCTTCTGCTAAAGTATTGATAGGCCTCGCTTTCACTCGTCCCAGAGTGAGTTCGAGTTGAAAGTATGTTCCCTTAAGAATCGACGAATAAAACTCAGATCCATTCCCGAAAATCAAAATGCCGAAGTGCAAGAAAGCAACAAAAATGATAAATAAATTGAAGCTGAATGATGAAAGAAGACGCATGGATGTCTGAAGAGTTTTAGAAAACACTGCAATATGAGAATTAAACCGAATCATTCTCAACAGTTTCAAAATGACGATAAAAGTGAGAATTCCAAGCGTTGCATTCTCCACTTCCAGCGAAACGACAGCTTCTTGAAAGCTTACATTCGCATAAATGTTTTGTTGCAATTTCTGGATCGTTGCAGACACCCTGATCGTTTGTAAAATATACATTACCACAGCTGAAACAGAGAAAGTAATCTGAGCGATTTCGATCCAATTCCAGATGGACTTGAAATATCTGCAGCGTTGCCTATAAAGCTTATAGCATTCTCTTCCGAGGAAGAACAGAATGAACACGATGAACAAAAGTATGCAGATCAGATAAAACTCATTAGATGCTGTTTCCGTCGAATTCAAAGAAATAATATTACTTCTTGTGAAAGGCACCTTGTACCCGGATGCTTCCACTTCATAGAAATACGTCACAACAGTTAAAAGGTTTACGGATGGGTTGAACGCGGCAAATTCCATCATAACAACTCTGGTTTGTTTGTCCAGCCAGTAATAACTCTTAAGGTTCTCAACGATGCTATATCCGGTGGAAGTATCGTATCCGAGGTCTGCAACAAATCCTCCCCCTGAATAAAACGAGAACTTTCCCCACTTTGGTGCTGTGTCAGCATTTTGGTATCGCCATGGCTTCGGACAGAGTCGGAGCAGCTCGTCATCACTCGTAGAGTTATCGACAGGGTTCCATCCCGGTTTATGAAATACAGTCTTGTCTTCGTTAATTTGCGAGAATCCCTCGTAGCATGTCGGAAAGGTAGTTTTCATATAGTCCAAGACTTTACACGGGGCTGAAAAAATTAAAAAATAACATAAAAGGAAAGATGATCAGTTTTGACTCGATTTTTTGCCCTTTGAGCGGTCTGTGGAGGAATAAAATGTTTTTTCCTCCACAGACCACTATCCACGATAAAAAGCAAAGAAAGCGGTTCACACTTAGTCGTCAGATCATTATTCGAGTCAAGGGCTAGGATGCCTTCTAGAGTAAATCCTTATTATTAAAACAGATTGCTAGGATCTGGGACATGATAAAAGTTGGTAATCTAACAGGAAAACGGCCTGGTTGCTAGGCAAGATTAAAAATGGGGGCGTTTATCGCATGATCATCGCTTATTTGGAGACAATTTTCATTAAGTAATGTCATGTTTTGGAATCACAAAACGTGATCAGTGCTATAATTTGCAATAAACCTCTCATGGGTGTAGATGAAAAGTTGTATAGTTTGTAGACCATACGCATACTTCTTCCTCAATGGTATAGCAAATGGAATAAGCTGTGGCAGTAATGAACAACTAAGATTGTAGTTCTTGACAGTATTTCATCCCGTGCAGCATACATGAATATATCTTATGCTAAACTCTGTGTTGTGTACACGACTAAGTTTTACCCAATGTCGTATAAACTAATTTATCCATGAGTTTGAAGCCACTGGATGACGTATGGGTTAAATGGGGTTGTTTGGTAGGTCTTGGGAAAACTGACGACGAAACTTACTTGATTTCACCCTCAGCTGCCTTACTCGCGCCATTCCTACAAGCAGAGAATGTTTATCACCTATGTACATGGTTTGATTCTCCTCTTGGCCATTGTACCATTTGCCAACAAACACGCCAGGTATGAAAACATCGTTTAACCACCTCCAAAACTCCTTATCGTTCAGTACCTGGGTGATGAAGTAAGAGAAAGCAATGTGTTTCGTAAGAACACGATGAAAATTATCGTTTGTACGTAAAAACATTTTGCGCGCAAATAAGCTGGTTCAAATATGGCAGAGTTCGCGTAATTAATTTTTTAAACAGGAGTAGAGCCAAGGAAACGGATTGTAAAGGTGATAAGAAAGACTGAGCAAGTGATACAAAATAATTTTCCAAAGTTGATTCATTCTAGTCTGCTTTCATCCTCTCTCTATTTTTGGTATATCAACAAAGGCAGAAAACCGAGTGTAAAGGGTTGTGATAATGGATGCGACTTCTTTTGATGATAAACTACAGCAATTCTTGTAATGAAATTACCCACCGTGCTAAACTTTGGTAATCCTTCTCGGATGGACTTTGTCATGAGATATCGATGGTCATTTCTGTTACCATAACAAACCACCATTAGCAAAAAAATGAAAATAAGATAAAGAAAAAGGTCCACAAAAAACTGCGAAATGTTTTGTTTTCTGGCTTGATTCTTTCTCATCTCTTCCACTTTGGATAATTCTAGATTCCATAACCTTTGTTTTGAGGGGCTACTTTGGGGTTCCTCGATGCTTTCATATCCTTTTCCTCTGCTTTCTTTCCTTTTGAAAATAGCCGCTACAAACATCGCCATGAAGAAAACTTTCACAGGCTCAGTGACTACTACATCCTGGCTGAACGATATCAGCATTGAGGAAAGCCACTTTTCACTGATACTCTTTCCCCACATCAGACTGTAGAAGACTGAAAACACCGCCGAAACTGCACATGCGCAGATGATCAAAAACCAAGCAAGATATATCAACAGGGTTGCTTTAGAAAAACGACCAGTGCTGGTCTCTGACCTCTCTCCTCCTTTTTGAAACAGGAATACTATGAGAACGTTAATTGGTGCCACAATTAACGCGCTTTCAATACCAATAATTACTTGTCTCCACGAAAATTTTAGAGGTCCAATTTGAAAGACCTCTTCAGTGCCACCATCCAATTGATAGAACATCGCATTAGCGAGCATAGCCGTTAATAGCACAGAGAGGCAGCATGACGCCCGCTGTATTCTTGTAAAGCGGCTTT